TATATTGCAATAATAACTCTCAACACATTCAAAAGTCAGCAATCACTAAGTCTATTCTTTCTTCTTTCTGTTCAAATTCCAACACTTACAGAAGATATATCAATTCTTACTCTTATAGATTTTAAAACTCAGATAAGTTTTATCAGTAGGTTCTGAGTCAAATCACACAAATTGCAATTAACAGAGTGTATATCATACAGAATAGAGATATTTGATAATCATCAAATACACTTATTTGAAATTATCAATCTAGAGGTAGAAATCTCAGATAGCAAAAAAACTACAGTCAGAGAATCTCACTTCTTTAATATTGTCAAACTTTCAGGTTATGATATAATATTAAGATTTTTCTAATTTAAATAACTCAATTCCCTCATTGATTAAAAGGATGAAGAATTCTATTTTTATTAAACATTAAACAATCAAAAGATAGCTCTAAATGTGACAGATGCTGCTAATGAATTACTCACTGATACTTCTGACTATGTACTTATAATAGTACCTGTCTTAATCTTATAAACTTTTGAGCCTTTCTCTGAAATTTCAATGCTATCAGGAGTCAGCTTACTTGTAAATACAGCTTTCATCAATGACCTGCCTGACTATGTTTAACTATATACATATCTTTTCTCTGAGAAAGATATATATAGTGCATCTGTACCTGATGCAGAGCACTCAATTGATCTTGAGAAAGAAGTCAGATTCTCATTCATGTCTATCTACAATCTCTCTGAAACAAAGTTGAAAACTCTTCAAGATTACTTGAATAGTACACTGAAGAGAGACTGAATATCTCCTTCTCAGAGCTCTGTAGATTCTCTCATTCTTTTTGTTTCAAAGAAGAATGAAGGTCTATGACTTTGTATAAACTACAGAGGTTTAAATTATCTCACAATCAAAAATAGGTATTTATTACCTCTTGTGAATAAGATGCTAGATAGACTCTCTGAAGCATAAGTCTTCTCCAAGATTGATCTTAGAGATGTTTATTACAGAATATATATTTGATATAGTGATAGATGAAAAATAACATTCTGCACATGATATGATCACTATGAGTATAATGTTATATCTTTTGAGCTTGCAAATGCCCTTGCCACCTTTCAAGTCTATATAAACTACACTATAGTAGACCTTCTTGACATATGCTATGTGATTTATATAGATGATATTCTTATCTAATTAAACTCAATGAATGAGCATAAGGTGCATATACAAAAGGTCTTTGAACACCTGGACCATGTGAATCTGTTCGCAAAACACACTAAATATAAGTTTGCCAAAAATAAAATCTCCTTTTTGAGGTTCATTGTTGAACTCCAGGGTATTGAAATGAAATCAGATTGATTGGCAATCATTATAGAATGATTAGTCTCAACTAATGTTAAAAAAGTTTAGATTTTCTTAAGATTTGCAAACTTCTATCATCACTTCATTGAAAACTACTTCAAAATTGCAGAGCCTCTCTTTGATTTCATAAAGACCTCAAAGAAGAGGGAATGAAAGTCACAGTTCATATAGACAAAAGACACTCAATGCATCTTTGATAATCTAAAAGAACATTTCATATAGGCTTCTCTACTCACTCATTTGACTCAAGTTGAAAAATTCAAATTGAATCTAATGCCTCTACAGCAGCAGTAATTATCATTATCTCTCAAAAACAAGATGATGATCAATAACACTCAATTGTATTCTGATCTTATAAACTTCTATATGCAGAAATATAATATAATACTCATAATAAGAAACTTCTTATAATTATTGCATCTTTCAAGAATTGATATCATTATCTGAAAGAAAATTTATATTCTATTAGTGTCTATTCTGACTATGTCAATCTTTAGTATTTTATGACAACTAAAATACTGAATCAATATCAGTCTAGATGAGCAGAAGCACTATCAGTATATAACTTCATTTTGTATCACTGCTCAGGTAAACAAAACTCAGCTGATGAACTCAGTCACCATATAGATTACATTGACTCTTTTCATAATGAAATCATGCTTTTTATTTTGTAACAGAAGCTTCATCACAGTGTCAAACAGAGTTGAGAATTTAACTCTCATGAAAAACTTATAATTCTTATTAACTGCATATGAATCTATAATCAAAAGCACATACTTTGCATGAAACCTCTTAATCTCAATGCTCTGAGCTCTGAACCTCTCTCAAACCTCACTCTGAGTGCAGATTCTCTCTTATCATTACATCAGATGCTCACTCATCAGTTCACATCACACTCATCAGAATCACTCAACATACTAATCAGAAAACCTCTAAGAGAGAAAAATCTAGTTTCAAATAAATATCTTAAAAATTGAGATATTCTCAGACTGCTGATTAACACTACTACAGTCTTTCAATCAGCATATACAGATGTGTCAGAGTCTCTCACCTCTATTCTTGTTAAAGCATAGGACTTAGACTCCTTTGCAATAGTAAAAAAGCAGAAGATAAGAGATAAAGATACAATGTTGAGTAGTGACATATTCTGAATCATTTTAAAAGATAGCCTACTTCAGACAAAATAATAAAGTCTATATTTCATCACAACAAGTGCTGATCAAAGAGATAATTCACATCAATCATGATGACTCACAAGAAGGTCATTTTGACATAAAATAGTCTATTGAGTATGTTCAAAGTAAGTAATATTAGCATAGTCTTATCTAGAATATCACTAAACATGTTCATATTTATGATACTTGCCAGAGGGTGAAAGCATACTGTCACAAACAGTATAATGAACTTGAATCAATTTCAATATCAATTAATTCATGATAAATTATCACTATGAACTTCATCACTGATCTCTCAGTTACCACCTGGCTAGACAAAATCTATAATACAATCCTTGTCTTAGTTGATGTCTTAATCAAATATATTCTATATATTTTATATACAAAATATATTACTGCAGAAGACCTTGCAAACATTATCTATACTCATGCTTATAGCATCTTTAGTGTCTCTGAAAATCATATTTCAGATAGAGGAGCTCTTTTCACAAGTTGATATTGATCAACTTTCTGCTATCTATTTGAGATCAAATAAAGACTATTCATAGCCTTTCATTCACAGATAGATAATTAAACTAAAAATCAGAATCAGATACTAAAATGTTATCTTCAATACTTCATAAATTTCCATCAGAATGACTGAGATAAATAACTGTCTTTAGTGCAGTTTATCTATAATAATTTATGATATGACTCAATCAATGAAGTTTCAGCTCATGCATTTCTCAGCTACAGATCTGCTCTCTGAATTAATATCAGTAATTCATCTTATTCAAGCTCAATTGAGATAATTAATCAGGTCAAAAAAATACAAATAATATAAAAAAAGATTCAAAAACAGCTGAAGAAGATCAAGACTGCACAAAAGATATACTATGACTTCAAACACAGTACAAAGCACTTCTATGTGAGAGACTGAGTACTTCTTAATGCAAAGAATTTCTACATGCTTTATCTCACTAAAAAATTGAATCATAAATTTGTTGACTCTTTTTAAATCATTAAATCTTAAAATACATAGATATATAAACTCTTTTTTCTATAGTCAATGCACAATATTCACTCTGTTTTTCATATCTCACTGCTTGGATCTTACAAAATGAGAGATAATACTACTTCACCTCTAGCATCAGAGCTAGTGGATGATGAAAAAGAATTTCAAGTTGAGAAGATATTAAAGAAAGAGAAATATTAAAGTAAAGAATGATACTGTGTACACTGAAAGGGCTATGAATCTTCAGATGATATATAAAAATCTTTTAAAAATATTCAAAAGACTGAGACATTTGATATTTTTGAACAACAGAAATCACAATAACGAGTACATTGAATTCTTTCTGAAAAGTATGCTAAGTACTAATTCTCTCTTATGCATGCACTTTTTTTACTACTTTTTCTTAAATGATTTTTTTTATATGATTTTAATGAGGCAAGTAAGGCATCAAAAATCATCAAGTCTTCAAGAAAAATTCATTTCACTATTGTCTGAACAAGTCAAAAACTCAGATATACATCTCTAGTTCTTTCTAAGTTAATTTCTATTCATAATTATCACAGTCATTATACACTACTCAGGAATAGTAATTCTTCTTTTTTCAAGCTCAATATTCTTCTTTTCAATCAACTCAGAGTTCTCTATCTTATATATAACTTTTTTCTCTGCATTTTCTCACTTCTCATTCTTAGAAAACACTATCAGCACATCTGCAGTCTCAATTTAGCACTGAGCATAATAAGCAGCATCAATCAAAGCAGCAGCATGAGCTTTTGCTGAATGAATAATATGAGAGAAAGTTGTCAACACTGTTATCAGACACAGCAGCTTGACTTGATAATGTGAGACCTTCACTGATCTTACTCACTCTGCAAAGAATAAAAAACTATAAAGAACAAGCAGTCAACTCAACTCAAAAGAAGAAGCAAGCTAGACAAATAATTATTAGTCATCAAAATAAGCAAAGAAGCTAAAAACATACTATACTTACTCAAATATATGACTTATGTGCAAGGCAGCAAAGATCACAATATTTTTCATGATGAAAATAATCACACATCACAGACAAACTACTCAGCTTGAGCAAGCATCACTCACAGAAGATATCTCTAAGATAAAGTCAGTCACATGATCAAATAATCATGAGCTATGACTCAGTAGTACGGCAGCCTTTAGTGACATTTGAGTCAAATGGGTTTTTTTGTGTTTTTCCACTGTAATTACTTAATTCCACTTATAGACACTCATTAATAGAAATTTATATGAAGATTTGTCTGTTGCAGAAACATCTCATTTCATTCTGATTAAGTTAAAAAAAAAATTAAATCAAAAAAATTAAAAAATAATCATTTTCATGGATATCATCAAAAAATCAAAATGAAAAATCAAAAAGTGAAAGAAAGTGAATAAAAGATGAAAACAACAAGAAACTACTAATAATTATTTCCATGTCCTGGAATGTGACTGCCTGTCATGATTTGTCACAGCCTCTGCACCAATTTCATATCCCTATCCTGGATGGTAATACGTTTGGCATGGATGGCATATAGATTTGTCACTAACATTCCATTGATTAGTATAATGATTAGTAGATTAGCTTGTAAAATCTAGTCATTTCTTACTTGTGAATTCATCAACCAAAACTGCCTCTGCAGCCTCCTGCAAAGCCAGAATTGCAGATGCTTGAAATCGAAGATCACCATATATATCTGCTGCAATTTCACGGACAAGACGCTGGAATGGAACACATCACGCTGATAACGGCGGATTTCACGGAGAGCAGTAGCTAAAATAATTAAATTAGATATTCAAATTCAAAAATCTATGAATATACTTTTACTTACTACCAGCTTTTCGATGATAGCGACGTCGAGGTTTCATATGAGCCACATGTTGTCCTGGAGGATGCTTTCCCCTCTTTCTTGCCTTGCTGGCTATATTTTTTTTTGCCCCTCTCTGTTGAACGTGTTTTCTTGCAGTCATTTTGGTACAAGCCATTTTTGCGTGAATTTGATAATTCTAGCTGCTTATTTACTGATTAGTATAATAACTAGTATAACAATGAACTGTAGCTCACTTACATTGCTGAAATAAGAAGGTAATTTAAAAAATTTCTGCAGGGGGGGGGGGAGGGAGACGCGTAGAATGAGATGGATGAGAAGATTAAAAGATTGAGAAAGAAAAAGTGCAAAGAGATAAGATCTTTGAAGTGAGTGTGCAGTTATATGTGTGATTATGTGCAGTTGATGAATAATACAACAACACAAGCACACTCAAATAGGTAATCAAGTGAACGCAACAACACATCACAAAGAATATTATCATTGATTTTCAATTCTTTCAATTCTTCTTTCTGCCATCTCACTACTTCTGCTCTGCTGCCTGCCTGCCTTTTTATTCTATTAATCATTGTATCAATCAACTACTTCCTGCACCAGATTCTTTGTTTCCCACTTCCAAGATCAGTTTTTTTCTCATTCTATTAAAATGACATGCCGTGGATCAAAGCCTGGAGCCACAGCTGGCCACAAACAAAAAGCTGAAGAAGAAATGTTGATTAACCCTCACACAAAAAGAGCAATGAAATGATGGGAAAAAATAAATGAGAAGGAAGCTACTATTGAATGAGTAAAGAATGCAGATCATGCAGCAGTAAATTATCATATTCAACAGTTAAAAAATACCAATACATTCATAGAGGCAAATACCGAAGATCAAAAGAAGATGATTGAGGATAAAAGAACAGAGATCATGAATAAAAGATAGTTAGCAAATCTTGAAATCTTGTTAATATAAATATTAATAGAATATAGACTTAGCACAGGGATTACAGCATCAATGCTGGAGCAGAGACAGAATGATATTTCAAAATCAAGTGAAAAGTAAGTTCTATGTTCTACTAATCATTATATTAATCATTCTAATGATTTATCACAGGCTCGCCGCATGGAATCATTTGTTACATTCTGAGGACACTATGCAAGAAGTGAAATGGTGACTAAAAGATGAAAAACAGTTTGATAAAGAAAATATGCCAACTGAGGAAGATTTCCAGGCTGCATATGAGAAAGAGGTGAAATTGATGAAAAAAAAAGAAAGTCTTGCTGCTGTTTTATACAAGTAGTAGATTCTCTCATGGAAAGATATCAGCAATTCTCTTTTTCAAAAATTCCGACATCATTCTTTCAACAATACTGCCAGTTATCATCAATTTTTTAAAAAAATTTTAAATCAGGAGCTTTCTGTTTTGAAAATGCTGCTTTGTGTAGAACAAATTGACTCAAATTTGACAAAGAAATGATGGAGTGAGCAAAAGACTGAAGATTCAGAAAAGGACATCAATGCTTATAAACAGACTCATAGAGCCTTGAAAGAGGAAATGACTTCAGAGGAATTTATGCAAATGAGATGAAGCTTAGATGAGTGCATGCTTTTTAAGTTTGAAAATTAATTTTTTTTTTATTTTTATGATTATAGTAATCATTCTACTAATCTGTTTTTTGTTGAATATTTTTTTTATATTAAAGCAAGCTAACTTAGTTAGTTTAGTGCATTGTCTGTTTGTTTTGATTTTCTTATTTACTTTTTTTATGATGCTATGATATTTTCATTCATTCATTCATTTTTTCTTTATTTTAGAATAACAAATACTTTTTCTTTCACTTTCTTTTAAAATGCCTCCGTCCGGTTATTCATATCTTCTTTCTCACAAAGATATTATTATTAATCTTCATCAACACAATCTAACTCAACAAGATATTATCTCTCAATTGAAATGAGATCATAATCTTGAAGTTAGTCGATCAACTCTTATTCATTGTCTTCGAAAATAGAACATTAAAAAATCAAGAAATGGAAAGCTGATGAATCAATTCAAAATCTTATTCAAGAATTGTTTTCACAAGGCTTGCAGGATGCTGATATTCTATCAGTTATTCAACAAAAGCATTCTGAGTCTCAACTTTCTATATATGAGCTTTGTCAAATTCAGCAGCAATTGAAACTTCATCAGTGAAGAGATGACTATGAGAATGATGAGGTGCAGAAAGAGCTTATATCTACTGTACAGAAAGAGCTTGACAGTGAATTTATTCAGAGTTTTGAAAGAGGACATCTGTACACTCATTTTAGACAGCAGGGGCATAGCATTTCACGGTATGTTTTGATTAATATAATGATTAGTATAATACTAATAAAATCAGAGATTGTCTATTCAAAACAGTTCAGCTGCTCAATTCAGATGGAATTACACATCAACTAAATGATCTCCAACGTCACTGAGGATCCTACATTGTTCCTGGACCAATTATCTTTGGTCTATTGATGGTTATTGCAAGTTTCAACATTGGAGAATTGAAATCTATGCAGCAATTGATGCATATTCTCGATATATAGTATGGATATATATTGGAATCACAAACTGTACCACTGTTTCTGTTCTTTGACAATTTCTTGATGTTCTTCAAACTACTGATACTTTTCCTCAAGTTATTTGTTCAGATTGAGGAACCGAAACTTCAATGATTGCAGCTGCACAACTCAAACTACATCAGGCAACTGATTCAAATGTTTCTTTGAATGAGTGCTATCAATTTGGAACAAGTACACTAAATCAACAAATTGAATCTTGGTGGGGACAACTTGCAAAACAGTTGACAAATTACTGAAGAGTATGAAATTCCATATTCTTGCTATTAATTATTATACTAATCTTTATGCTAATCTTCTCTCAGCGCTATTTTCTGAATCTCAGTCATACAGGTCTATATCACACCAATAAATTATCTGATCGTATTGCCTTTCTCGCTGTATATATGCCAATTATTTGACAAGAGGTGACAAACTATATGAGAGTCTAAAATAATCATCAAATTCGCACTCAATGTAAATGACCTGATGGGGTATATGGATGGCCCTGGAAGCTCTATTATCATCTTGATAATGTATTACAGCATGGTTTAAAACCAAATTCACAAGTGCTTTCAGAACTTCACATGCATTTTGAAAACTAGGGTATATAATATCTTCATTATTAATATCTCTGTTGATTTAATATCATAGAAATACTAATAGTTGATAGATATTAATGAGTATCTACCACTTGAGACCAAGAATTGGTGTCAGAATCAGATTTCAAAGTTGGGATTTTTTTCTGAAAGAGTCACTGCTGCAGCTGTCAATGAACAGGGTGAACATATACATAAGATAATATATCTTCAGCTGCGAAAACTTGTACATGATCATATAAGATCTCAACAAGTTCCTATTCTACAGGAATCTGAAAAGCCAACTGGTGCTTGAGACTGGCTGATAGAGCGATTGCAGGAGCATGAGATGAATTTTGATAATGTGATGGAAATGAAAATCTATGATGAGAATAGTGAAAATAGTGAAGATATCAAGTCTGATATCTCTGCTGAGAATAGTGAGAATCTTAAGTTAGATATATCACAGATGTAATTAGATTGAATATGAATAAGTATTATACTAAGTATTCTACTAGTATTCTCAAGAATATACTTTGTAAGTTTGTTACAATAACAATTATTCAATAAATTTTATATTGTAGTACTATGTGGATTTTGAATTAGATATATATATATACATACAATGTATGTACACCGTACATCTAGAATATATGTATTCATATACTTGAACACTCTATCATTTGAAAATTATAATCATTTATCATTATATAGTCATATTTAAAGTTATTGACAGTATTAAAATATATATCAATTAACAGTTTTCTTATTTAATTGATACAGTAATATTTTGTTGTGTGTACACTCTTTGAAGATATTATATAATATTACTCATCATGTCTAACACTCTCAAAATGGTTAGTTATTATACTAATCAAGTTACTGAAATCCACACACACATACACATTCTCTCTCTCACTCTCTTACCCTCAAAAACAGATATATATATACACACACTCAAATTTTCCTGTTCTTCTCTTTGTTGTTTATTATCATCTTGATTTACTTCACTATGTGGACACCATTCTGCCCCAATCGTCCTGGATTTTCTCATGAAGCACACTGTAATAATGAAGCTGCCTGTTCTTATTGTGGTAAAGCCAATCCATTCATACTGAAATCCTCTATCATCTCTTCAATAAATGATGAAATCATTGTCATTGAAGATAGTCCCAGTCCTTCAGCTCTGACACCATCACTCTCTGTCACAATTCTTGATCCTGGACCTCCTCAACAAGCACGTCAACTGGCCATTCAAAAAACACAGAAAGTTCAACAAATGACCCCTAATGCCAGTACACCAATTCAATGTACATCATCTATAAAAGAACCTGCAATCAAACCTGAGCTGAATCAACTGTCATCCTTGCGAAAATCCTACAAAATTCTTATTCATATTTGGAAGTGTGAATACAATGACGCCAAACTACAAACACACTATAACTGGAAGTCAATTTGAAAAATTCAAAATGAAATCTACTCAGATTGTGTGTTTTTTACAATGGAGGATTTTCTAGAAATCATCACTGCTAGACTTGATACAGCTTGGAAGAATATTCTTACTGTTGTTTCTCCAGTTGATGTATTCATTTCTGCCTCAGTTACAGGAAAGGATGGTGCAGTTATGCTCACTCCTGATGTTTGAATGTTAGATTTGGAAAAGTTATTGAGTTCATTTAAGAAAGCACACTCATCAACCTCAACAACTACAATTATTCACATTTGTCTTGTTATCTATGATGAGTCCAATCACCTCATCAAACAACCATCGGAATCAAAGAATATCAAAGTCAAAGAAGAGAATATCTCTGTATCAGTGATCAAATGTGAACATATTCTCTCAGTTGATTTACCCATTCTAAATCTTATCAAATAAAGACGGCCGTCCCCAATCCCTACGAAATCTGAAGACAAAGTTAATAAATTGGAGACAATGAAGCTTGAGAAGAATCTATTGTTCAAGTGGGAAAAGCCAGAATCAGAGACAGAGGAGAAAAATGTAAAGAAGGAGATGAAAAACACTGTGACAGAGATGGAAAAAAGTCATTCTAGTGAAATTGGAACACAATCAAACTATCTTGACTCACCAGCAAATGGGACAAGATTTTGGCATCAGCATCGAGAGTGATTGATAGATTGATTGATAGATTCTTTTGACATCAGGGTTGAGGATGATTAGTAAAATGTTTGATAGATTTTAGTTTACTCTGTAAAGATTGATATTAATGTGAAGAATTGTTTTGCTATCTATTATTCTCATAAGAAGTCTTACTTCTCACAGATTTATTCTTGCCCCTATTCTTACCTCTATTCTTGCCACTCATGTATTCAATAGAGTCAGAGAAGCTATAATCAACAAGGTCTATTTGATTACAAATGAAATGAATATGATTGGTGCGTGTTCATGGTAACACTAGTATAAAAACCATCAAAAAAACCCATTTGACTCAAATGTCACTATAGGCTGCCGTAAGTAGCTCTGTCAAACTGTCATCACATATGTGATGATGTCAAACATGCTAAAAAACAGGAGAACTTACTCAAAGAGTACAAGGATTGATTCTGTCATATTGACAAAGACAAGAAAGAAATGAGAAAAGCTTCAAAATCAGAGACAGCAGCAACTGCAAGAAATCTATAATAATTCTAATTATGAGATTGTAAAGAAAGAAAAGTTCAAAGAGCAAAAGATACCTTTTCTCTTTATTTTTATAGCAATAAATGCTCTTATGACAATCATCTCATGCAATCAGTTCCTCAATATCATTGAATAAGTACTATAAGTGTTATTTTCTATATCAATAAATACTTCATACTTACATCTCTATATCAATCATCTTTCAGAGCTGCTGAGGTCAGTGTCTATGAAAGAAGAAGCAACTGTGATTCTAAGACTCTCTATACTAGCTTCTTATCCTCATACTGCTTATCATACTGCTTATCAAAGCACTTTAAAATCAGATTTTCTAGATTCTCATACTTACTTACTAAAGCACTTATTTTCATACTGTTTATCAAAGCACTTTATAATCAGTATTTTCTAAAGAATCAGCATCATCTTAAAATTCAGTATTCAGAATCAGCACAGATCAGTACTTCTTAAAAATCAGTTCTTTAGCATTAGTACTTTCTGAAGAATAGAATTAGCACTTCATGAAAATTCAAATCACTGCATTGCTAATTTCTCATTTCATGAAAGATTAGAGATAAAATCTATTGCTACTCATTCATATATATAAATATTCTGAATTTTCAAAGTTTCTTTAAGAGATTCAGTGATTAGCTACTATTCAATTCTACACATACATTTCATTCATTGCTATTCTCTTCTCTTTATAGTACTCACAGCATCTATATATCTCTCCTCTTACAACTTTAGTTATAGAGCTTTTCACGCTTCTTTTTGACACTTAGTTCATTTACCTTAGTATCCTCACAATTAAGCATATTTAAAGGCTTTAGAATTTTATAATATATATAAAGAGTGAAAAGTAACTAATCTAATATTATTTAATTCTTTTAAAAGATTAAATTTCTTTTAAATTCAAGATCAGAGTCAATTTAATTCTAGGTCAATGATACTTACAACCTTTTTATATTCTAAACTATATAATTTCTTTCTTACAATTCTTTGAGATTCTAGACATATATATAAAACTCTGCAATAGTTAAATAAAAAGAGAATTCTTATAAGAAAGTAGTAAGTTTTTCTTTACAAAGCTAGCAAGATGATTGATGAGTTGAATGCTCTATAAGCTATTAGTCAGTCTATAATTTTTAAATTCTTTAATCAACTAGAGACCCTATGATAGTTAAAAATTAAAAAGAAAATAGAAGTTGATCTAAATACTCAGTTTATCAATATAGAAAGGATTAAAAAGGCTCAAGAGAAAACTGTTACTTTAGACACTAGAAAACAACTATAAGAGCCAGAAATTGAGGCTAAAAAAGCAGTAGCAGCAACTTTAACAGCAGGTCTGGAAGCCTGCATGTTTGAATGACAATTAGATTGAATTTGTAGTTAAATATTTACCCAAATAGGAAGAGAGGTTGTTTTGGATAGAGTGGTCGAAAAAGGGTTTGGTCGAAATATAAACCGGCTAGCTTATTACATTGCTTCTCTCGCTTCGCTCCCTCCGCAAATGACATGGGGATATTACAGGATCATGGTAGGGGAGAGGAGCACTAGGTTAAGGGCAACCAAAAATATGCTTCAAGCACGGTGGATTGTGATGGGCGGTTTCACACTCACTCAAGGGTTATATGTAGTAGGGAACTACGTAGTTAATTAGCTAGTTCCTCTCACCTAACCCACGTCATTGCCATCTCGTTTAATGTTGTTTGCTTTGCCCATTTCATTAGCTGCGTTTTGGGCTTGGACAAACGCTTCAGTGGTTTAAGTCCCGTGCTCGGCACAGCTGGTGCACCCGACGACTGCCTGTAATATTCACCCAGGTCTTCCGAGGATATCGAGGAGAACGAGGCAGCATGCTGTATATAGGTGATTTCTCGGCGACCTCGAGTCTTGCGGGCTCGCTGTTCAGATTTGAGTTTCTCCAATTGTTCCGAATCCGCCTGGCAGTCGAGGGTTGTCACCTGCAGTCCGGGCAGGTTCATAAATAAGAACTTTTTAAGTTCCGGAAGCAATTGGGCATTGGGGCGATACGTGCCGCTGTCGTTATCAATAATGAGTTCGTATACAGCGGGGTCATACGATACTGGCACGGCAGCATCACTAGCAGCGGCTGGCGATGTAGCTCGACAAATAGAGTCATCTGCTAACTCTGAGCTGGGACGCGGGGACCGACTTCTGTGTTTCCGGGAATGGGACAAACGACGTTTAACAAAGAATTCACCAGAGTACGCAATGTAGATTGAAACGTCGCTGTGCATTGTGTGTTTGCTTAGCATGTCGATGCCGAATTCCTTCCCCGTCTCCGTAAACCGCCATTGGCCGTCCAGGGTAATCACATAGGTGAATATCCTGCCGCCCTGGTCGTAGTGGACGAATTCGAGGAACTGATGAGTGAGTTGAGGTGAGGGGGCAGGGAATACCCCATAGACTGTAGATCGATCAAAGTTGTAGATCCGGACATGTTGGTGATGAAGAGCACGGTTGAGAATGCGGCCACGAAGGCTCTGCGAAGTAAACATGCCTTCTACGAAAGGCTTGAATTCGACATATCGATGGTAGAGGGAGGCCGGTACTGGGCCTTTCAACTGAATTTGAATAGCTTGAAAACTGCAACGTAATATTGTGGTTTGAGAATTTGTAAGTTAAGAGAAATAAAATTTGCATTGAGCAAAGAAGAAGAAAGAAAAGGAATTGAATAATAATAACAATAATAAACGAAAAGAGGGAGAAAAAAACGTACTTATATCTGGTTGTGGTCTTTTTGCCGTCTTGGGATGGTTCAGCGTCAACGGTACCAGCCAGAAGCCCGATTAAGGGTGAGAAGTGTTTACTCCAGAAGTTGGGCCCAACGGTGTACATGCGAGCATCCCCATCTTCGGCGGCGGTCCTGCCAAGGCATTGAACACTGAGGAACAGAGAAGGGTTCAGATGTTTACCTCTGCAGCAGACTATGCTCACGGATCTGAAGAAGTAGACTCTCTTGCTGGCCATGCCTTTGTGCACCCGGAAAGACTCTTCGTGGATGCCTGGCCAGTCTTCGGGTATGGACGGCACGACGAGGTCGACTGTTCCGAGTCTGTCATCACTATCGACGGGGTCCTCATCGTAGATACGGCATTTCAACTCGAACCCGGAGGCGGGGACGTTGGCGACAATCCATTCGCAGTTCCAAACAGGGTTAACATTCCGTGTAACAGTTGGGGTGCGGTAAACCAGGTCAGGGTCCTCTTTGTGGCGGCGAGGGGAGTCTGCAGTGAGACGGGCGACAACGAAAGGGTCGGCAGAAAGGGTGCTGATATCAGCGATTGGAAGGTTGGCAGCACGATGAATAGTGAATTTGAGCGTAAAGCCCGGGGCGGCGCAGGGAACCGGGGTGTCGTCGAAGCCTCCAGCGGGGTGACTTGAAGAAGCGGTTTGGGCGGAAGGGCGGCGCGAGGGCATAACCATAACTAGTTACAACTACAACTTACCTGGGGACAGGATATATAATCCAGCAGCAGTGGATCCCGATCGCCAGTTGAATGAATTCAAATGTATTGGCGGGAGGGAAGAAGAAATCAAGAGGGCGGGAGAAGTGGAAGTTGAGACCTCGAGAGTCAAGAGTCCATAATCATAGAGAGCATAGTGTGTCTGCTGTCTGTAAATGAGCTTGTCTATTCTATTCTATTTAAAAACTAGTTACTCAGGGTAGACAAATATGAATAACCTGGTGCTCATTCATTCCACATTCTAATCCCCAGATTAGTATTCTTGTCACAGCTGCCTAGTTAGATAGATGAATTGAAGCTGTTGTCTTGTTTATCTTGACTAACGTAATTCCACACCGAGTCGGCCACCAAATTTCTCCACCTACTAATTTAACTGCTCATTCAATTCAACGTGCAATTATGCCATCAAAATGCAAGAAAAACTCTTCAAATTCAGTTGAGCAAGAGGGGAGGATTGAACTCATGATAAAATCTATTCAAAATGATGAAAAGCTCTCAATTCATGAAGCTGCAAAACTATTTAATGTGCCTAGGTCTACTCTTCAAGATCACCTCAAGTATCAGCCCTCATGGGTGAATTTACACACAAACTCTCACAAATTATCTGCTGCTGAAGAGGATAGTCTAGTTGAATGAGTGCTGGACAAAGCTAAATGAGGATTTCCTCCTCAGCTGGCATTTGTTGAAGATATTGCTAATTATCTTCTTACTTTACAGAATTTCACTGCCTCTACTATCTCTCCCCCTTGGGTCAGCAAGAACTGGATTTCAAGGCTGATTAAATGTCATACAGAGCTCTGAAGCCACTATTCCAGACACTATAATCATGACTGAGCCAAGTGTGAAGATCAACAGGTTATAAAGAATTGATTTAAAACCTTAGAAGATACAATTGCTGAGTATGAGATTGTATCAGAGGATATATACAACTTTGATGAGACTGGCTTTGCTATGGGGCTCTGTGTCACTACTAAGATCATTACTAGTAGTGAGCACCATGGCAGAGCAAAGCTCTTACAGCCTGGAAACTGTAAATAAGTAACTGTAATTAAATCAGTCAATGTGTCAAGATGAGCTCTACCTCCCTATCTCATCTTTAAAGGCCAGGGCTTGTTGAAAGGTTGGTTTGAAGGCCTTCTAGAAGGCTGAAGACTAGATGCCAGTCCAACTGGCTGAACTACTGATGAAATAGATCTGAGATGACTTCAACAGGTGTTTATTCCAGCAGCAGATTCTTACAAAGTTGGCAGATCTATTCTTCTTATTCTGAACAGGCATAGCAGTCACCTTATTCTAGAATTTGATCAAATCTGCAAGAATAATGCTATAATATATTTTTACATGCCATTTTATTTCTCTTACCTTCTGCAGTTACTAGATATGAGTGTTTTTTTAGTTTTAAAGTAAGTGTATGAAGATCTAGTTCAGCAGTGAATGCAGCTTGAATTTAATACTATTCAGAAGACAGATTTTGTAGATGCCTACTCTGTAACACATACTGCAGCCTTCAAACCTCAGACTATTCAAAATGACTTTAAGGCAACTGGAATAGTGCTCTTTTAGTCTGACTACATCCTTCAGCAGCTGGATATTCAACTATAGACTTCTATCCCTTCATACAGCAGCTCTAGCAATTCAATCATATTGGGAATACTTCAAACATCTAATAATCTCCAGCAATTATACTAGCAGATAAATAAGATTAAAGACTTAGTAAAAGGTCAGTCTCAAGACTTTGTGAAAGATTTTAATCAAATTATCAAGGCCTGTAAATATGAGATAGTCAGTGCCACAATTATGAAGAAGTAATACCAAGATATATTCAACATCAATGAGATAGAGAAGCAAAAGTGCAAGAGATCTAGTTGCCAAATTGAGTAAAAAATAGGAGATTTAACTAGTGAAGAAGTTCAAAGTTATTTAATAGACTCTATAGAGCCTGCAGAGCCTGTTGAACAGTCAGTTATTCAATTTTTCAAGTTTTCAGCTGCTAAGCCTGCAGCACATATATGAGCATCACAAAAATACAGCAATTGTGAAATGCTTGAGTATACAAGACTAAGATACTCTTAATCAAGTATAATTTAATTTAATTTAATTGAGCTTTATTGTGTTAAGATAATTTGAATTAAAAACTACTTAGTTGAGATACAGTGAATTTGCTGACTAACTCAGTGTGATGGCTAACTCAATGTGAAATTACATTAGTTATAAATTGAGTCATAATATAATACTATAGCGCAGCTGCTTGTATATGAATTAAGATTGATTCATCTCATTACGCTAAAAGATTGATCTGATCTGATTCTTAAACACCTTTTTATATTCAGCTACTTATTTATTCTTTATTCTAAAATAGCAATGAATGAAATATATATGTAGAATTTAATAGTAGCTAATTACTGAATCTCTTGAAGAAACTTTGAAAATTTAAAATATTTATATACATGATTAAATAGTAATAGATTTTATTTCTAATTTTTTATAAAATAAAAAATTAATAGTATAATAATTTTATTCTTTAGAAAATACTGATTCATATTAATTCTGAAGTGCTGAATTTTGAGATGATGCTGATTCTCTAGAAGATGCTAATTCTAAAGTGCTTTAATAAGTGATGTGAAAAGATACTGATTCTGAAATACTTTAATAAGCAATATAATAAATAGTATAATAGCAAAAAGCTAGTATAAAAAGTTTTGATATTACAGTTACTTTTATTTTTTATAGATATTGATCTCAGCATCTTTAAAAGATAATTGTTTTTTAATATATATAAAGATGTAAAATATTTATTAATATAAAGATAAATATATAAAGTGTTTATTAACATAGAGAATAATACTTATAATATTTATTTATAATAATATTAAGAGATTGATTATATAAAATAATTGTTATAAGAGTATTTATTACTATAAAAATAAATAGAAAAAATATCTTTTAGTCTCTGAATCTCTTTTTCTTTATAACTTCATAATTATAATTATTATAGATTTTTTATAATTATTATTATCTTTAATTTTAAAGTTTTTCTATTATAGTGCAGTTGCTTATATATAAAATAAAATTGATCTACTTTACTATACTCTTAAAATTGATCTATTCTAACCTCAATCATATTCAGTTGCTCATATTGATCTGATTTAATTTTTAATTATATCTGTTATTAAAGTTGATTTAATCTGATTTTTAATTATTATATATATTCAGTTGCTTATTTATTTTTTATTTTAATTTTCAGTTTAGTATTCTCACTATAGCTGTTTAGTTAGATAGATAAATTAAAGCTGTTATCTTGTTATCATCCTGACTTTAGTTAAGTCATGATATAATATTAAACTTTTTTTTTCTCAAAAACCTCTGGAGATTAAGTAGCAAATTTATATATTTATATTTATATTCATATGAGCTTTTCAGTAGTTATGACTATACTAAATACTTAAATCTATATCTATATCTATATCTATATTCATATCTGTATTTATATTTATTTAAACTTATTAATAATTATAATTATACTGAGTATTTAAAATCTTTATTAATTTTTATTTTTTTTATCTTTATTTTGAAAGCTTCTCTTGCTACTCTTCATTAAAAATTTGAAAATATTATCAAAAAGCTTTATCAAAATTAATAACTCTGAATGACTTTCTATATTAATTTCAATTCTGATTTATTTGAAGTTTTTTCTATTATATTTTAATTAAATTTCTAATAATCTATATTACTAAATTTGAATTTATTCTCTATAAAATCAGAGCTTAGAATTAACTAAACTCTTCAAAAGTATTTTAATTTTACTAAAGTTTTAGTATATCAATTAGAAATTATCTAGCTTAGTAGCTAAATCTTTTTTATATCTATAAGAAATTTTTATATATTATTTAGTTATTAACTTTTAATTTTATCTATTTATTCTTATTATATACTTCTCAGCTGATTTAACAATTTAGCTTGCTCTAATAGTTTGATTTATTCTAATCACTTCAATAGCTTAGCTCACTTTGCTCATTCTACTTACAATAATTCTATCAGATTTAACTTAATATTTTTATTTTTTTAAATAATTCTTTACTACATATTCTTATTAATAAAGCTATTATATATATTGTAAATCTGATAATCATTGAATTGAAGACTGTTATTTTTATTTATATTCTTATAAGCTCTATTACTGTTAAACTGTTAAATAAATTCTAGTCCTTAAGTAAAAATCTAATAATAAATATTAGTTAAAGCTTAATTTTATAAAATATCTTATAAGTATATATTTAGTTCTAGCTTGTCTCTATTATTGATTATACTTATCTAGTTCTAACCTTTAGCTCATAATCTATAGAAATTAAGTGCAAGAATATTAGATCATATGCTCTTCACTTTTCATAAGTATCTTTTTTGTCGTGTTTAGACAAACTTTAATGAGAGTGATGTGAGAAAGTACTTGATGTAATGAGAAGAAAATAAAAATTGACAGAGATTACAAAGAGCTCAGATGTGTCTCTTATCCAAAATAAGTTAATAAAAGTTTTCAAAAACTATTTAAATTATTTTAATTTAATTAATTTCTTATTTATTTAATTCTTATATTTTTTAAATTAAGTGTTATAGATTGATAATAAAAATTATTGATAAATATTTATTTTTTAATGAAAAGTATATTTTCAATAATCAATTTTTTAAATTTTATTTGAATAGTATGAAAATTGAGAGTTTGATTAATTTCAGTAAGAGCTTTTAAATAAGAGTATTTTTAAATTAAAATTTTAAAAATTAGCTAAGTTTTGAAAAAGATATTATTATCTCTTTGATTTAATTTCTATTTATAATTATCATAGTCATTATATGCTGCTCAGATACAGTAATTTTTCTCTTCTCAAGCTGAATACTTTTCTTTTCAATTAACTCAGAGTTCTTCATCTTATATATAACTTCTTTCTCTGTATTCTTTCACTTCTCATCTTCAGAAAATATTATTAGTGTATAAGTAGTTTTACTTCAACATTAAATATGATGAATAATATTAATTAAGATAGTAGTATGAGCTTTTACTAAATAAGTAATATGAAAAAAAGCTATTAACACTGCTATCAAATACAGCAGCTTGATTTGATAATATAAGATCTTTACTGATCTCACTTTCTTTGCAAAAAATAAAAAGTATTAAAAAGTAAACAATTAACTTAATTTAAAAAAGAAAGTAAGTTAGATAAATAACAATCAGTCATTATATTAATAGTATAAAGATCTATCTAACACAGTAGTTAAAGATACACTATACTCATTTGAATATATAGTTTATATACAAGATGATAAGAGTCATAGCACCTCTCATAATAAGAATAATTATATATTATAGATAAATTACTCAACTTGAGCAAGCATTATTTACAGAGAATATCTTTAAATCAAAGTCAGTCATATGATCAATAATCATAAGCTATAACTTAGTATATTTATCAACTATCAACTGTTATTACATATTTAATGATTTTAAATATACTAAAAATAAAAAAGCTTACTTAAAGAATATAGAAATAGATTCTATTATATTAATAAAAATAAAAAAGAAAAAAAAACTTTAAAATTAGAGACAGTAGCAACTACAAAAAATATATAATAATTATAATTATAAAGTTATAAAAAAAAATTCAAAGAATAAAAAATATCTTCTCTTTTTATTTTTATAGTAATAAATATTTTCATGATAATCATCTGAGATAATTAGTTTCTCAATATCATTAAATAAGTATTATAATTATTATTTTCTATATTAATAAATATCTAATATATATATATATATATATATATTCAAAATAACTATTTTCTAGAGCTGCTGAGATCAGTATCTATGAAAGAGAAAGTAACTGTGATATTAAAACTCTCTATATTAACTTCTTGCTCTCATATTGCTTATCACACTGCTTATTAAAGTATTTATTTTTATATTATTTATTAAAATATTTTAGAATCAGCATCTTTTAAAGAATTAGTATTATCTCAAAATTCAGTACTCAGAATCAGTATAGATCAGCAGTTCTCAAAAATTAATTCTTTAAAATCAGCACTTTCTGAAGAATAAAATCAGTACTTTATAAAGAATTATATCACTTTATTATTAATTTCTCATTTTATAAAAGATTAGAGATAAAATCTATTACTATTTATTTATACATATAAATACTCTGAATTTTTAAAGTTTTTTCAAAAGATTCAGTGATTAATTACTATTTAATTCTATATATATATTTCATTCATTGCTATTCTCTTCTCTTTATAGTGCTCACTATATCAATATATTTATTCTCTATTATTCTAATTATTGTTAGGCTCGGCGCCAGGGCTAGATTTATCTCCATCACGTGATCACACCCCACATGTGATTTAGTGGATCGGTCGTGATCTGGTCACGTAATCACGTGGGCTGTTTATAATGTGAGCACGTGATCATGTGAGCTGTTTATAATTGGAGCAGATTCTAACACCTCTTTTTCCTTATCAATTTTAATATTCTCATTACATAGCAGTTAGCAACATAGAGAATTTCCTTCTTATGCAGCTCACATTCACTCTCTAACATAATACTAAGGTTCTCTTCTACCTTTTTACTCTGGTTTCAGTGGAAAACTCAAGTGTTTCAGTTAAATTAGAATCTGCTAGTTAAGAGTCTGACAACTTATCAGATCAACTATTGAAAACAACAGTTCAATCTGACATCGGATGATCATCACAGACTCTCAACTTCTTGAAAGAGATCAAAAGAACTAGTGATACATTCTAACAAGATCAATCAATCAATCATATATCTCAACTAAGAAGTTCAAAGAGGCAATTCACTCAGACAGTGATCATATTTATAATGAATTAATAGTGATCTTTGATAACATCTTTAATAATAAAAAATCATTGAGAGATATAATTACATGTCTGAGAATGAAATGAAATAACATTATTAATCAGACTGCTGTCAAGCAGAGTTAGATTCATAAGTTAATTGCTGAATATGATGAACTTAGCCACACTATGATTCACATGATAGTCAGCAATTAAGCAGCAAGTTGAGATGTCATTTTCTCTAAGACTGCCAGAAGATCTATTAAGATTGATAACTCAAAACACTTCATTGACAGCAAAGAGCTGAAATTTGAACACTGACTCTCTCAAATGAAGAACAAGCTCTGAGAGAACACTGACTACTACTCTATTGAATGCATGAAAATTGCATACATTGAGAACTGAATAGATGAGAACATAGTATGTCATATTGCACTCTGTATGAAAGAGAATCACTCTGAGCAATATCAGACTGCAGAAGAGATATTTGAGCATCTCAAGTCAATATATGAGAATGCTAACAAGTTGCAAAATATTAAGAGTGATTATCACAAGCTGATTATGTGCAATGAGAATAATTATCATGAATATGTTACAAGATTCTTACATCTGACAGGTGAGATCAAAATTGTCCAAAGAGACTATAATACAGATTTCAATAATAAGTTGTTCTTTGATCTTCAGAGAATAATAGTAGTAGTTAATATAATTATCAATACATATACTGAGTTTCAGAAGATCTGTGCTCAGACAGCTTATATTCTTCAGACAATCAATGTCATTTAGAAGTTAAAGAGCTTGCAGAGAAATAAAATTAATATTCTCAAATAAAACTTCTAATAGATGTTTAATAGTGAACTTTCTCTGGTATCTCTGCTATAAAATTCTCTATAAAGAAAACTGTGAGCATCTGTTTAGACATTCAGTGCTACTACTGCAAGGAGAAAGATCACATTGCAAGAAACTGTATTATGAAACAGAAGTATAAGAGGCTGAACCCCTAGATTCGCTCTGGCTGGCTGACTCAGCCTAGCCATCATTTGCATGTGCGCACGTGATCATGCTACGTGAGCTTGCTTAAGCTCATGTTCTCATCTCATTCTTTTCTTCCCTTTCCTAAGCAATTCATCCTTGTTATAGAGGAGGACTAGCCTCTAGTTCTTAGAGCTTAATCCTCTACATTACAAATTGCTTCACTCTTTTCATTGATAGGTCATCAGAAGTCTTAATCCTGTATCACAAAGCTCAGCAAATGTGCTGACATATGACAGGCTATTGAGAGTCTTAAATCCTGCATCACAAAGTTCAGTGATAGCACTGATATATAAATAGACTGAGTTAGCAATCATGCTAACAAATGAATGAGCAACATTGAAAATGTCTATCTGAATGAGATAAAGTGGCAGACTTGTACAATAAATACACAAATGAATCAACATGAAGCAATAAGTAGGGACGTCTTCAGCAGCTTTGAACAACAATGAATAGCCTTTTTTCAACAGCAGGAACAGGTCCAGCATGAGAACAGAGATTTAATAGCAGCTCAGCAAGCTGAAATAGCTAATCTATGACAAGCTTTGAACATCTCAACATCAACTCTCTTTTAATTGAACTCAAAATCATTCATTGCAGTCAGAAGATCAAAGACAAAGCTATCAGACTGCAAGAAGTATGATGGTTCTAATCTGAAGCACTACCCTCAGTGAGAGCTAAAGCTTCAATCAAAACTTAAGATCAATAGAAAAGCTTTAGATAATAATGAGAAATGTGCTTAGTATGTGTACTCAAGATTGAAAGAAATGGCAGCAGCTTGAGTTTATCCTTGAATTGAGAATAATAAGGACAAGATCAACTTCATAGTAGAGAGCTTACTGAAGCAGACACACATGCTCTTTAGTGATTCTGCATGACAGGAAAAGACTATGCAAAAGCTCAACAATCTACAACAGAGTAGAAGAGCTCTCTTTGACTTTCTGCCTGAATTTAATCAGCTACTGCTGGAAGCTGGTGGTTATGAATGAGATAATCATATTAAAAAGAAGTATTTGAAGTCCATCCTAAGCATGGAGCTGAGGGAAGGCATGATGGGTGTAAGAGAATCATCTCTTTACAAGAATTACTGCAAGGAGCTTAGATTAGTTGATCATCAACTCTCTGAGCTTAAGACTTTAAGACAGTGATCTAAACATCATGAGGACAGATCTTCTTCAGATCATATAATGTCTAATCTACACTCTTCACTTTGTCATACTGTTCTTGATTGATGAAATCAGTCTCAAGCTTCTACTGATGATCTGATGAATCTCTCTCCTGGTGCTGTGACCCCAAGTGCTCATCACATCAAATTGATAAATCAGACAGAGATTAATCAATTAAGAGAGCAAGGCCTGTGCCTGAAATGCAGAGTTAGAGATCATATGATTAAGAGCTACCTGTTCAAACCTCCCAGACACCCTGCCACTCTCATGATAGCTAAGATGATTTCCAAGCTGGTACTGAATAATGACAATATGGATATAAGTGAGAATTCAGGAAAAAGAGTAACTTCAATCAAAAGACACTGGAAGAAGTAAAATAAAAAGCTTATGAAGAAGTAATAAAGAAGATTTAAATCTAAGATGATATTCAAACCCTTCACTGTCAATGCTCTAGTAGATAATGCCTTTTTGACTAGAGTAATGATAGACAGTGAATGTAATGTCTATGATCTTATTTCTCAATTCTACATTAACAAGTATAAGCTCCTGTGCATTGAAATTCCTCTTGTTAAAATGACTGGCTTTGAAGACTCTATAGGACTCTCCACAAGCATGATGACTGGCATTTGAATTGATATAGATGATTGTATAACTGAATAAGCCTTTCTCTACATGATGAATGAATCACATGGTCATGATATGTATCTAGGTGACCTCTAGCTGACCCAGTAAAAGGTGACTATGATCTCTTATCAAAGAATTGTAAGATTTGAAGAGAGTGGCATAGAGATAGAGTCTAGTTCAAACACAAAAGCTGATGTGATTCTTATCTCTGTCATAAGCTTCTCTAGGCTTGTGAGCACTTGAGAGAAGTGAAACATCAAGATTTTCACTGTCAGTTAGACTGACATTTAAAAGACTCTAGAAGTAAAATCAAAGATTGACTCTAGAGAAAAGCTGTCTGAACATTATCATGAGTTTTTGAATATATTTGATAAGAAAGCCACTGATGCTCTACCCCTACTTCATGACCCAGGTAGAGATCATGGGATTGAACTAATTAAAAAGACTGATGATAGCACAGAACAACCCCCTTGAGGCTCATTATATAATATATCTTGAGAGGAACTACTGGCTTTGTGAAAGACTCTTACAGATTATCTAGATAAGGGTTTTATTAGGGTGAGCAACTCCCCTGCAGCCACCACTATACTATTCATGAAGAAGCCTGGGGGTGAGCTAAGATTCTGTGTAGACTATCAAGCTCTTAACAAAATACCTGAAAGAATTGATATCCTCTATCATTAATCAGTAAGACTCTACAGTGAATTAGACAGGCTAAATGATTCACTAAGCTGGACATTATTGCAGCTTTTCACAAGATTTGAATCACAGAAGGTGATGAGTGGATGACAGCCTTTAGAACCAGATATGAGCTATTTGAATGACTGATTACATCCTTTGCTTTGGCCAATGCTCCAAGCACATTTCAAAAATATATCAACTGGAAATTATGTGGATATCTGAATGACTTCTGCTTAGTCTATTTAGATGACATCTTGATATTTTCCTTAATAAGCTTACAGGAGCATTGTGAGCATGTACAGAAGATGCTTATGTGTCTATAGAAAGCAGGCCTGCAGGCAGACATCAAAAAGAGTGAGTTCAAGGTGAACAGCATAAAATATCTTGAATTTATCATTGAAGCAGAAAAGGGTATATAAATAGATTCAGAGAAGGTTAAAGCTGTTTTGAAATAAGCAACATCTACTACTCTTAAGAGTATATGAGGATTTTTAGACTTTGCCAATTTCTATAGATGATTTATCAGGGATTTCTCAAAGATCACAATCTCACTGATGATTCTTACATGTAAGAATGTTTCTTTTTTGTAGATGAGCAAGGTTGAGAAAGCTTTTAAGTATTTAAAATCAATGTTTATCTTCACTTCAATTCTGCTTCAATTTGACCCTGACTATGAGACTATATTGAAAATGAACTTCTCAGATTACATCTCAGAAGAAGTGCTGCTACAATATGATGAGCAGAGCATTCTACACTTATGTGTCTTCTTCTCTCACAAGCATTCACCTGCGGAATGCAACTATGAGATTCATGATAAGAAGTTATTAGTGATAATTGAGTGTTTAAAGAAATGAGACACTGAGCTATGAAGTGTAAAGGAATTCAAGATTCTCACAGATCATAAGAATCTAGAATACTTCATGACTACACACAGACTAAATAAAAGACAGCTACATTGAATGGATATTCTCTATTGATTCAACTTCAGAATTGATTACTGATCAGAGAAGTTGAACACTGAACTAGACACTCTATTACAAAGAGAGCAGAACATGCTACAGAGCACTGATGATGAGAGAATCAGACAGAGACAAGCTCAACTACTTAAGTTTAACATACTGACATATGAAATGAAATCAATAGTGACTGCTGCCAGTGTGAAATTTGAGATGTTTCTTTAAGCTCAGTGAAATGAGACTCATAAAAATAACAAGATTCTGCAGTGTTTGAAGCAAACTTTTCATGAGAGAAGATTCAGATTTTCTTCTGAACTCAGCATTAAGGCCTCTGTCTCTGAGTGCTCTTTAAATGAAAATGAAGAGCTTCTCTTTCAAGATTGTAAGTGAGTGTCAGACTTCAAACCTCTTCAAATCAGATTAGTGCATGAGACTCATGACTCATCTCTTATCAGTCATCCTGGGTGAGAGCAAACAGCAGAAGTTTTAAGACATGAGTTCTACTGGTCAGACTATGTTGCTGATGTGAGAAGAATGATCAAAAACTGTTATCTTTGCAGATTAAACACTGCATAAAGAGATTGATGTCAGGGACTGCTTAAGCCTCTTCTTATTTCTGAACACATGTGGCAGAAGCTTTCTATGAACTTTATTGTGAACTTACTGAGCTCTAAAGAATACATGAACATCATGATTATAATGAACAGACTGATCAAGGAAGTTATATTAAAAGCAGTTAAGAAAACTGATGCAGAGACAGTGACTAGAGTGTTTCTTCACAACATCATCTCTCAACATGACATTTTTAAGGTGATAGTGTCAGATTGAGGGTCAGCTTTCACAAACATATTTTGAACTCAGATGTGTGAGAAATTAGACATTAAGAGATGACTCTTCACAGTCTATCACTCAGAGACTGATGAAGCTACAGAGCAAATGAATCAGACTCTGAAAATCTATCTATGCAAGTACATTAGCTTTCAACAAAATGACTAGTATGAATGACTCTCTCTAGCAGAGCTGGTCATCAATAATAGAGATGCTGCCTCAATGAGTGTAAGCTTATTCTTTTTAATACATCTTTTCCACATCTTCTTCATTGATATAGCTGATGCACCCCCCATTGAAATATCACATAATCTCATTGAGTTTGTGAATAATTATATGAGGAAGGCCTGTAAAGTGTTGAAGTGAGCTCAAGTAAAAATGACAGATGCTCAGCAATCTCAAGAGAAATATATGAATAGATGAAGAGACTCAGCTTCAAGCTTTTAACCTGAAGATAAGATCTGATTGAGCTTAGAGAACATGAGAACTAATCATCTGTGCAAGAAGCTGAACATGAAATACAATCAATATATCATGTTAGAAAAGATAGAATCTCATGTTTACTAACTGAACATCTCACTCAGCATTCACAATGTCTTTAATGTAAAGCTTCTACATGCTGCAGTGATGAATTCTCTATCTAGTCAGAGACAAACTGACTGACAATCACTCACTATAGAGACTTCAGAAGAACCTGAGTTTGAGATTGAGAAAATTCAGAGTGAATGAATCTATCAGAGAAAAAAGCAATACCTTGTTAAATGAATAGATTGAGCTGAGTCTATGTGAAATGACATGAGTCTTCTATAAGAAGTAAAGGCATTGAATGCTTGGGAGGCCTCTCAGCAGGCAAAATTAGATATAAAGAGAGCTTTAAATAGTTGTAAAGACTCATAACAAAGAGGGAGAAGAGAGGTATTATAAGAGGTTGAACCTCTAGATTTGCTCTGACTGGCTGACTCAACCTAGCCATCATTTGCATGTGCACACATGATCATGCTATGTGAGCTTGCTTAAGCTCAAGTTCTCATCTCATTCTTTTCTTCCCTTTTTCAAGCAATTTATCCTTGTTATATAGAAGGACTAGCCTCTAGTTCTTAGAGCTTAACTCTTTACATACTGCCTTAAAGTCTTAAGCTCAGAGAGTTGATGATCAACTAATTTAAGCTCCTTGCAGTAATTCTTATAGAGAGATGATTTTCTTACACTCATCATGCCTTCCCTTAGCTTCATGCTTAGAGTGGATTTCAAATACCTCTTTTTAATGTGATCATCTCATCTGTGACTACCAGCTTCCAGCAGTAGCTGATTAAATTCAGGCAGAAAGTCAAAGAGAGCTCTTCTACTCTGTCATAAATTGTTGAGCTTTTGCATAGCCTTTTTCTGTTATGCAGAATCACTAAAGAGCATGCATGTCTGCTTCAGTAAGCTCTCTACTGTGAAGTTGATCTTGTTCTTATTATTCTCAACTCAGAGGTAAACTCAAGCTGCTGTCATTTCTTTCAGTCTTGAGTACACATATCAAGCACATTTCTCATTATTATATAAAGCTTTCTCATTGATCTTAAGTTTTGATTGAAGCTTTAGCTCCTACTGAGAGTAGTGCTTCAGATTAGAATCATCATACTTCTCACAGTCTGATAGCTTGGTCTTTGGTCTTCTGACTGCAATGAGTGATTGTGAGTTCAATTGAGAGAGAATTGATGTCAGAGTGTTCAAAGCTTGTTGTAGATTAGCTATTTCAGCTTGCTTAGTGCTATTAAATTTCTGTTCTCATACTGAATCTGTTCCTGCTGTTGAAGAAAGGTCATTCATTGTTGTTCAAAGCTGCTGAGAGCATCCCTGCTCATTACTTTGTGTTGATTCATTTGTGTATTTGTTGTATAAGTCTGTTACTTTATCTCATTCAGCTAGACATTTTCAATGTTGCTCATTTATTTGTTAGCATGATTGCTAATCAAGTCTATTCATATATCAGTGCTATCACTGAACTTCATGATACAGAATTTAAGGCTTTCAATAGTCTATCATATGTCAGCACATTTGCTGAGCTTCATGATATAGAATTAAAACTCTCAGTAACCTATCAATGAAAAGAGTGAAGCAATTCATAATGTAAAGAGTTAAGCTCTAAGAACTAGAGGCTAGTCCTCCTATATAATAAGGATAAATTGCTTGAGAAAAGGAAGAAAAGAATGAGATGAAAACTCAAGCTTAAGCAAGCTTACATAGCATGATCATGTGCGCACATGCAAATGATGGCTAGGCTGAGTCAGCTAGTCAGAG